CCTTAAACTCACAGAGTTCTGCCTACCTCTACTGAGAACAGGAGAATTCTAGGAAGAAGGAAGCCCATTCCTACCAGTCCTGCCCAGACCCCCGAAGAAGCAGAATGTGACATACCCTGCTAAAAAAGCTACTGAGCCATGTGGCTAACATAGATAAGAATAATGGGTTAATATAAGCTACAAGAGCTAATAAGATAAGAAGCCTGGGCTAAGGGGCTGATCAGTTTATAACCTAATGTAGACTCTCTGAGTGATTTTCTTTGGGGGCTTACTGGCTGTGGAAACCCCAACAAGCAAGCCCTCATGTTACATACCTCTACCTCCTGAGCTCGTGGGATTAAAAGTGAGCACCACCATGCCTAGCTTTCGCTTTTACTTTTGGAGTGGCTCACCACATAGAGAATTGTACCCCAGACTGTTTCAACCAACACCTTCAACATTTTATTGCCCAACTCTTTTCTTGATTTCATGATTTCTGAGGAGACATAGGTATAATTCTAGTCTTTTCTCCTCTGTAAATAGAACGTTGCTTTCCCTCTGCCGCATTTTGAAGAATTAAAGAGTAATAATTTCATTGATTCTAAACTCTAAACGCTATGCCCAGGTGTCGTTTTTCTGCTTATCCTGGTTTAGCCACTTCCTGTTTTCTAAGCTTTCCAGACCTGTAGTTTTGTGTGTGATGCTAATTTGGGGGAATTCCTCGGTCATAACTGCTCAGCTACACCCTCCAATCCTTTCATGAGTCTCCCTGTGTTCTTGGCGCATGTGCACCCCAGCCTTTGAAGTGTCCCATCTGCGCTTGGATGTTCTGCTCTGGGTTTCTCTGGCGTACTCCCCTTCCCTCATTCGCTCTTCAGCTTGGGATCTTTCAACTGAGATGCCCTCCAGCATGGAGATTCTCCCTTCTATGTTCAGTCTACTAATGAACCCATCAAAGGCATTCTTAGCATGTTACAATGTTTTTGATTTCTAGTACTTATTTGGTTCTTAGGAGTCTCACCTCTGCCTAAATTGCCCATTGATTTCCACAGAGTCTACTTTGTCTATTATGTTCCTTAGCCTATTGTTAAATGGCTTATTTATGTAACTATTGTCTTTTCTCTTGAGACTGAGTCTTACTCTGTAGTCCAGGCTGGCCTTGAAGGCACTATGTAGCCCAAGCTAGCCCAGCTCACTGTGCTTTCCCTGCCTCAGCCGGCCAAGTTCTGGCCTTAAAGCTAGGGGCCATCACAGGCAGTTTATTTGTGTTTGTTCTAAATTCTCAGTCTGATAACTTTATTGTTCATGCTTATTTGAAGCTGATTCTCACTCATGCTTGCTTTGCTTGGTCGTAATGTGCTTTTGCCGTTTCATATTTCTTAGAATTTTTTAATTGATTTTATAGAGCTCTACATTTTTCTCTGCTTCCCTTCCATCCTCTCCCCTCCCCTTCAACCCTCTCCCAAGGTCCCCATCCTCCCAATTTTCTCAGGCAATCTTGTCTTTTTCTACTTTCCATGTAGATTAGATCTATGTATGTCTCTCTTAGTGTCCTCATTGTTGTCTAGGTTCTCTGGGATTGTGATTTGTGGGCTGATTTTCTTTGCTTTATGTTTAAAAACCACTTATGAGTAAGTACATATGATAATTGTCTTTCTGGGTCTGGGTTACATGACTCAATATAATGTTTTCTAGCTCCATCCATTCGCCTGCAAATTTCAAGATGTCTTTATTTTTTCTGCTGTGTAGTACTCCATTGTGTAAATGTACCACATTTTCCTTATCCATTCTTCAGTCGAGGGGCATTTAGGCTGTTTTCAGGTTCTGGCTATGACAAACAATGCTGCTATGAACATAGTTGAGCACATGTCCTTGTGGCATGGTTGAGCATCCTTTGGATATATATACTCCAAAGTCTTATTGCTGGGTCTTGGAGAAGGTTGTTTCCTAATTTTCTGAGAAATCACCATACAGATATCCAAAGGGGTTGTACCAGCTTGCATTCCCTCCAGCAATGCAGAAGTATTCCCTTTTCCCCACAACCTCTCCAGCATAAGTTGTCTTCAGTGTTTTTGACCTTGGCCATTCTTACAGGTGTAAGATGGAATCTCAGAGTTGTTTTGATTTACATTTCTCTGATGACTGAGGATGTTGATCATTTCCTTAAGTGTCTTTCAGCCATTTTAGATTCTTCTGTTGAGAATTCTCCATTTAGTTTCGTAACCCATTTTTTAATTGGGTTATTTAGAATTTTGATGTCTAATTTCTGGAGTTCTTTATATATTTTGGAGATCAGACCTCTGTCTGATACGGGGTTGGTAAAGATCTTTTCCCATTCTGTAGGCTGTTGTTTTGTCCTCTTGAACAGAGTTGTTTTCTTTTTTTTTTTTTTCTTTTTTTTTTTTTTTTGGTTTTTCGAGACAGGGTTTCTCTGTGGTTTTGGAGCCTGTCCTGGAACTAGCTCTTGTGGACCAGGCTGGTCTCGAACTCACAGAGATCCACCTGCCTCTGCCTCCCAAGTGCTGGGATTAAAGGCATGTGCCACCACCGCCCGGCTCTTGGAAGTTTTTTTAATCACTGTATGGGTAAAAGCAACTACTGTCAGTCACTGGTCATGAGGTAGTGTGGTGTGCAGATGGGAAGGGTTCTACAGTTCTGTGATGTGACCCAGTCTTGTGACAGAGGACTTCACAGTGAACACATCACAGAGTTTACTTCTGAGCTCTCCTCACCCTTGGGCAGAACAAGATGGCTCGCGTTTCCCTTTTCCAGTCTAATCAGGCTGTAGAAAACCCCAGCTGGCCGAGCTCTCACCAGACATTCCTCCCAAGGCAGGCCTTGCTAAGAAGAGTGCGGCACTTGGGATTATTTTTGAATATTCTTTCCCTTGCCCTGCAGAAGCAGAGGGGCTTTTTCTCTGGCCTGTGAGGTGCTGACCTAAGTTTTCACTCTCTGATTTGTTCACATAGAACTCCTGGCAGTTTACCAGTTATAGCTCAGGTTTCCCTGTCCTGGTTCCGGCAGAGATAAGAGCTTGGGCATTCTCCTCACTCTCTCTAACTTGGGGTGCTGGTTTGCCTGTGACTCCACATCTCTAAGCTTGTTGCTTAGGGTAGAATGGCAATGCCAACACTTCTATGCACTAGACTGTATCTTCGTTTTGTTTGGTTTGGTTTGCTTTAGATAAGATGAGTAAAGACAGGACAAATGGGAAATCTCAAGCTTTGAAGGAGTTCTTCTGAAACCCAAGATGTCTGGATTTGAGCAGAATTTATTGTATTGATTGGCCTATTACACAGGTCCTATCTCAATTTTCAGAGACTAGTTTGATTTCCACTTGACCCAGACACTTTGGATCTGAACATGGAGGGTACATTATGAATGAGCGAGCCTGATGTGAGCAGCCATGGACAATCTAATTACATCTTAAATGGAAGCTGGCCTAAAGGGCTCAGGTTGCCTGTCTTTTACCATATTCCCAAACCATCCGTTTTCCTGAACATGGCATTCAATCCCTGGAACACTTGCTCCTGCACCTCTACACGGGTACTCCAGCTTGGCCGGACTCCTCCCGGGGCCAGGTAAACAGCCAAGACTCAGGAACCACACACAATCATTCTTAGGCTCCAAAGTCTCTTTTGTTTTACTCCCTACCTTCTCTAATCACATTACTGAGAAATTTACAGAGTTACTGTTGGCAATTACCAACTGTGAGGAGAGGCTCAGCCTATTTAGAAACAGAATTCGACTAACTAAAGGCCTCCAGGTAGATGTGGGCAGCCCTGTGAAAGTACAGCTGCGATCTGGGGAAGAGAAATTTCCAGGAGTTGTGCGCTTCAGAGGACCGTTATTAGCGGACAGGACAGTGTCGGGGATTTTCTTTGGAGTAGAATTGCTGATAAGTTTGCTAGGACATTTGAGAGAGAGAAGGAGAGAGAGAGAGCGTATGAGAAAGCGAGTGTGCGCGTGAGCGAGAGACCACGAGCACATATTTTCCCCTTTATAAGATTTGTGTTTTATGTTTGTTTGTTTTTAGTATAGTTCTCAGGATGGACCTCAGGACCCTCTGCCTCTGAGCTATAGTCCAGCCCCCAAATTTATTTAATGATAAATTGAGAGGATATAAAGACAATTCTTGAAAACTTTAAAAAGTTATCTCTTACGGTAGAAACTTACAAGTCATTATTCTGGACTTCATATCTAAGAAGATTTTAAGTTTCCTATATTAAAAGTTAACACTGCCAATTGTAATTATAAACACTTAAAAAATTGTGAACTATCTTGTGATAGTACCCACAAGATTCCCAGTTCTTAGTGTATGCTACTAAGTATAACTGTTTAGAGGTAAAATTTTTGAAGTGTGTTGCAGCAATTTCAGTTTGCTCATGCTTATTCCCGGAATGTATAAACTGCCTTGGAACTTATGTGCCGTGGCAACATATCTAAGAATTCTATATTCCAAACTGACTATTGGTTCACATTTGGACACTCTCAGGAGTAGAGAGAGGTCACGCTTTACTTGCTTCTTGATTTGACTTTTCGAGCAGTGAAATAATTAGGCTGTGACTGCCAGCTATGGTATGTACTAGCAGGATTGCCAGCTACTTAACCTACATCATGTTCTCCTAACCTGTTCCTCATCTGTGAAGTGCTTAGAGCACACATGACTTATAGTAGTTGTACGGTGGATGGCTGTAGATGGTTACAGTTTGTTCTCAGTAAATGGAGCTGATGCTGCTGTTTGGTTAAAGTTGAATGCCTGTTCATGACAAAAGTCGTGGTAGTACTATGTTGTAAATTTAATCCTCACTCTTTCTCAAAAGAATTATGATCTGAAATTATGAGTTAGTTTCATCATCAGATACAGCTTCTTTATTCTTTAAACACCCTAAACCCAACAGCAGCTCTAGTCATATTTCATATTATGGATAGAATTTAGAGTTTTTCCAAAGTAATTTCCTGAAATCCCTTTAATGGATAATCTTTTTATATCTCTTTTTAAAAAAAACTTTGAAAACTAGGAAGAACATCGTGGCCAAGGTTTCACTGATGGGGTATATCAAGAGAAACAGCTTTTTCAGTGTGATGAAGATTGTGGCGTGTTTGTGGCATTGGACAAGCTGGAGCCCATAGACGATGATGACAATGGATTGGAAAGTGATTTTGCAGCCCTAGGGGATACCATGCAGGCTGAACCTCCCCCTTTGGAAAAAAACTCCAGAGTATCTTTGAAGGTCGGAGAAAGTGTTGAATCTGGAAAAGTAATATTCTGTGATGTTTTGCCAGAAATAGAGAGTCTAGGATATTTTGTTGGTGTGGACATGGTAAGGATTTTTTGAGTTTTATTATTGTGAATATATATATTAATTTTATTATTAATTTAGGAATAAATTGAACACTTTGTATTCTTCAAATTTACAGTATTTTAAAGAAGATATTCCAGTTTGTCTTTCGTACAGAAACATTACAGTAGGAATGTGAGCAGAAACAATACATTTCCCAAATTTTTTTGTGTTTTAAGAAACTGGGATAATAATCTCAGTCTTTTAATTATCCTTATTTTAACTGACCAGTAGACAAAAACAAAAACCAAACCAAAACAATAAAACAAACTGACATTTCTCTGACTAAGTCCAAATATATTGTATGATACTGTGTTTTCCTTTAATTTAAAAATACTTTTGATACTTTTTGTATATTTGCTAACGTTTAATTAATTTTCTCATAATAATGAATGTAGAAAGTTATTAATAGAAAATACTCAGGAAAAGAATCATACTGCTTTTTGAGTTGACAGAGTATTCCCACAGGATTTTCACTGTCTAAAAACTGTTTTCTTATTGCGGCAAACTGTGTATAAGAAAGGCTCCAGTGTAACCATGGTTACACTAACAGTTCAAATCATTTGGCATATTCTCATCATGGCCTCTCCACTGTCTGTCTACAGAACTTTTTCATCATCCTGTGCTGTGCTCTGTTTCTATTAAATAAATTCTGCCCAGTTTGACCATGCCTGGTAACTACAGACTGGGTGTTTGCCTGCTGTAGGTACCTCAGAAGTGAGGTCATATGGTATAATATGACTCCTTTTGTTTGTGTCACTCATTTTATTACTGAATAACCATACTCGCTAACAATGGATGCATTCCAGTGCACATAGTGAATTAACGTGGCCCTAAGAGAATGAGGAGAAAGAAGTTGAGAACATTTTTATCTTAGACTGAAAGTATAGGCAAAAGTTCATTATGGATAAAGGAGATTCCTTCATAATTGTTCTTACCAGGGTGTGTTGGGAGAGGATTATGAGCAGCAGACTCACACAGTGAATATTTTTAATAATCATTTTTATTTATTCATAAATGCTCTACAGAGATGGTTGGGTATGAATGTTCCAATGTGTTTCTGTTGCCTTGTACTTAGAAATTGTGTAAGATGGCTCATTAGTTAGGTACAAAATAAGAATTTGCCAGACTCTCGCTATGTGAAATTAGAGCCAGAGTAAGACCCGTGGGTCTCTCAGAATCGTTAATAATTAAGAACAAGAATTCTCTAAATGAGAGTTTAGTGTTTCAGAGGAGTTGTAGACTGGGTAAAGAGAATGTTGGAGAAAGAAGGCCATTAGTTTTTGGACTTAGTCTCCCCTTGCTATAGGTTTCTTGGGCCAGGCTTTAGATGTTACAGGAACTGTTTGGGTCCTCTCCCTTCTTAATGGTGACCTAGGAGGTCATCTTATTTAGCCCAGGCAGGCTGTCTTGAGACTTGCCTGCCAGCTCCACACAAGTTCTGTCCATTGTTTGATTTATGCGAGCATCAGCTCCAAACAGTCCCGTTAGACTTCTTGATAAGAAAGTTGGTCGATCCCAACTTTACTCATGGCTGTCTGCTTCCAGGGACACGCTAACATTCCTCACTGGTTCTCAGGGCAGTTGTTTCATGACCATCTGCTTGTGCCTCACGAATAACTCCTGTGCTGGTGACACAGTAGAGAATAACTTAGAAAATCAAGACTTTCCCCATTTTTTGAGGAAAGTCTTGTATACCCACAGATAACAAGAGAATTCTGAAGTAACTGCTCTTCTGTTTATAAAAAGACACACAGTAATACAGTGAGCAAAGTGCCCAGGGGATGCAGATGTGTGATTAACTTTAAGGGTAGGTTTCTGGGTAAAATAATGCAATCCTAGTAAGTTTTCTTTTGCAGACAATGTCTCTTTAAACCTCAGCTGGTGTTATTACTGCAGATTAAAGTATGAAAAATGCTTTTGATTCATTATTTTGTGTGTTTGCTGTAAGTTGATTGTTATTATTTTTATTGTAAAATGTTGTTACTTTAGCAGATATTTCTAATACAGCCTTTCTTTTGGGCAAAATAGTTAACATTTTTCTATGAAAGATATCTTAGGTAATACTTTTGAAAGAAATGTTGGCGTTCACATTTATATTTATTGACAAAGGTATATAAAGGTTTACTTTTTTGGCATTTCAAGGATAACCCTATTGGCAACTGGGATGGACTGTTTGATGGAGTACAACTTTGTAGCTTTGCAAGTGTTGAAAGTACAATTCTTCTGCACATCAATGATATCATTCCAGGTATGTCTCCTTTATGTATTCAGAAGATAGTTTCGAACATGTATTTTGTTATGAGAATGCAAATATATACTAAAGATGGATCTTTTGAAGTTGGCTTTATATTGTAGAATTGTCATTATATAGACTAACCTTTCTTTTCTCCCGAACCAAGGCAATAAAGGTTATTTCTAAAAGTATATAAGTATAGTGAAGTTTATACATTATCTCTTACATTGTCTTCTCCTAGACATTCCAATAGAGAAAGAAATCCTGTCTTGTAATTGGAAGGTTCAAAAATACAAAAAATGCTGTCTCTTGGAGTAAGAGATGAAGCTAGAAGCTTTTAAAAAAATTGTTTATGTCATCTAAACTCCACAGAGGATTCAGGATTCTTATTAAATGATGGCTGAAATTCCTTTTTTGTTGTTTTTAATTATTTTTTCATTTATTTTACATCCTGATCTCAGTTTCCCCTCCCTCCTCTCCTCTTGTTCCCCCCCGCCCCTGGCCCTGCTTGCCTCCCCTTTGTTTCTGTTCAGAGAAGGGCAGGCCTCCCGTGGGTGTTATGTATGGCATATCAAGTTGAGGTAGGACTAAGCTCCTCCCCTTCTATTAAGACTGGGCAAGGCAACCCAATATGATGAATAGGTTCCCAAAACTTAGCTTAAGAGTTAAGGATCCCAGTGTTAGGAGTCCCACAAGTAGATCAAGCTACACAACTGTCACATATATGAAGAGGGCTTAGGTCAGTCCATGCAGGATCCTTCACTATTGGTCCAGAGTCTTTGAGCTCCTATGAGCCCAGATTAGTTGTTTCCGTGGGTTCCTTCCTTTCTTCAACAGGATACTTGGAGTTTGGCCCAGTGCTTTGGTATGGTTCTCTGCATCTGTTTCCATCAGTTACTGGATGAAGACGCTCTAATGACAATTAAGGTAGTCATCAATCTGAATATAAGAAATGTCCAGTTCAGGGACCCTCTCTACTATGGCTAGGAGTCCTCGCTGGGACCATCCTTGTGAATTCCTTGAATTTCCCTGACATGAGGTTTCTTCCTGACCCCGAAGTGCACCCTCATTGGGACAACTCTTTCATCATTCTCCCCCTCCAAGTTCTTTTTGTTTTAAGATGCTATTATGGTATATCATGCTTCATAACTGTAGTCAGAAACTATTACATAGTTTTATTATATATGTTATTCTTAGTATTTTACTACATATATTATTTATTACAAAATAATAATTAGGGCCAACAAGATGGCTCAGTGGGTAAAGGCACTTGCACGCGCGCGCGCACACTGCTGGGTATGTAACACAGAGTGTTTTACATTGGTATAATTGGTACAGTGGTAACCAAACACTTTACCATTGAGCTACAGCACAGCCCCTGAACTTAAAAAACAAATGAAACTAAAAACACCACCCAAAAATGAAAAACAAAAAACACCCCCCCCCCAAAAAAAAAACCTCAAGAACCTTTTGTTTTGCCTCAAATAAGTATTTTCTTTGGCTGCTATGAGGTGATTGACAATGGTAGTAACACCAACCAGTGCTGTTAGAATTCCCAGTGATAGGCTAGTGCATTGAAGTCAATAGAGGCATTCAGAAATAGGGATGTCCACAAGCCATAACCAGGGATGTGCCAGGCCTAGAATTAGATGGTTTATGCTATCTCTATGTCCTGAACAGATTTATAAGATAGGTCTCAATATATATATATATATATATATATATATATATATATATATATATTAAAAATACAAAACAGGGAGGTTGGAGAGATTGCTCAGTAGTTATGACACTGACTGCTTTTCCAGAGGTCCTAAGTCCAATTCTCATGGTAACTTACAGCCATCTGTAGTGGGATCTGATGCCCTCTTTTGGCATAAAGTCATACATGCAGATAGAACAGTCATATACATAAAATAAATAAATAAATATTAAGAACATATAAAGCAGAATAAACAACAAAAGCAACAAAAGCAAAACAAAATTAAAATCCTGGGGCTTAAATTATCTATGATGAAAGTGAATGGCAGAACCAAAGTCCAAAACTCATCTGATTATGAACCTGTGTTCTCTTTAGTCCCCAACAAATCCCATATCCTACGAGTACTCTTGTATTGTGAACATCTGCATAATCCTCTGTTTCTTAGTGTCACATTCTGGGGAATATTATTTCCATGGAGATGGAAATGTTGTCGTTTCTGGTTCTATAAAAGATGATTTTACCGTAACAAGAATTATAAGTGAGCAACACACTGTATTTTCTCTTCTAGTGTTTTCCCATTATTGGTAAGGTTGACAACAAAATGCTTTTGAATTTATTTCTATAGCTTATTTTAGGCCCTGAATTCTTTATTTCATAAAAACGGAAACTGAAGGCTCCTAACTGCATTCTACCCTTCCTGTCTGCCTGTTGGTGTCAAATCATAAACTGTTCTACAGTTTGAACATGCTTCCCACGCAGCTTTTAGTTTTGTAGCAGGAGGCATGAGGTTCATATGTCAGCTTTACTTCAGTTCTGCTCTGAAAAAGTCTGACACACTTTACTTTTGATTTCTTTTAAGATATATTTGTTATTGAGAATTTTCATACATGCATATATTGTATTTTGATTATATTACCCCCCAACTCCTCCTGGGTCTCCCACTCCTAATTCCCTTTCTTACTTTTTGGAAATAAATTGTTTATATTCATATGTTTTCATAAAAACATATGTGTCCTTATTTTAATTAGTTGTGTTTACTTTTCATCCATGCTTTATAGACAGCACAGTTTGGGATGTTTGTGAATTAAAATGCTTTTTTTTAATGTTATAATAAGTGCTTATTGTTTAAAATACAGCAGTGTAAAAGCACCATTAATTCAGATAGTAGAAAGCCCTCACGTAGACTTCTTTAGATGTGGATATTTAGGAGGCAAAGCACACAAGCATTCTTGGGGTTGAGACGGTAGCTCCATGGTTAGAGTACTTGAGTGAAGCTGTAAGTTCCAGCCTCAGCACTGAACAAAAGTGATGATTAGCGCTAGCAAGATGGCTCAGTGGGTAAGGGCACTTGCCCTCAAGACTGATTCCTGGAACTCACGTGGTAGGAGGAGAGAATGACTCCTGCAGATTATCATCTGATCTATGCATGAATGCTATGGCACATGGGTGCATGTGCGGACACACACACACACAGAGTGATAAATTAACTAAAAATTTTTAAAGTAAAGTAATTCCTATGTAGAACTTTCATTTAATAAGTTGAGATATAAAATGAACAGAATCTGTGGCCAGTAAGATGGTGATGAAGCCAGAGAATGGTCAAACAAGGGGTCAAGAAGATGGGGGGCTGCCCTGTCACATTCATGTGCTTCCACAGACCTCTGCAGGAGACATTTGAGCAGCACACACAAGAAATTATTTGGGAGCTGAATTAAGAAGGCCTTTTCAAAAAGTTGGAGAGTTATGTTGATTTTATAATGCTAACTTGCTGAATGGCTGGGAAGAAGCTCTTGAAATTCTTTCTTATTTATGAGTTTTTTTCACAGGAGCCAATTCAGGGTAATACTGCTTCTCTATAGTCATATCTCACTGATTTCACAATATCCCACAAATTCCACTTTAGTTAGCAAACAAGTATATTTGGTTTTTTTTAAAGGATTTCTTTTCAGGGAACTGTCCAATGGTGCTTTTGAAACCTTAAAACCTGCGACATTTTTGTGTGAATGTAATTGTCAATTTTTAGATATCTTAATTGCATTGTTTTGGGTATTGCATTTTATAGCTGAATGAAGTATGTTGTGGGATTGGGAAAATCATTGTTAGTATAACCATGCAAGAAGGAAGAAGAGGGGCTGGAGAGATGGCTCAGTGGTTAAGAGCACTGCCTACTCTTCTAAAGGTCCTGATTTCAATTCCCAACAACCACATGGTGGCTCACAACCATCAAAAATGAGATCTGATGCTCTCTTCTGGCCTGCAGGCAAACACACAGACAGAATATTGTATACATAATAAATAAATAAAATATTTAATAAAAGAAGGAAGAAGATTCCTGAGCTGTGAAGCTCAGGGATGCAGAGTTGGTTGTGTGTTTTCAGTCTTCTGTAAATTAAAGATTGATGTGTTCCCAGCTTTCTTTCTTTATATATGTATTTATGTGACTAATATATATTTATATTCCAACTCTAAATTTGTTTGAACTTTAAATTGTCTTAGATTCTGCAGTAGCACATAATAAACAGAAAAAAGAAAAGTAAAACTGTTTTGGAATTGGACTGTAATCTTTTAAGGAAAATTTTTTTAGCAGTACCCACCTTATCAATATCTTAATTATTTTCTATTTCAACACTGGTATAGAATTAAAATAACAAAAAACAAAACAAAACATGAGTTTCATGACTTGGGAGTCCCTTGTCAAGATCTTCAAGATTCCTGCTTGTCCTTGATGTTATTGCTGGTTTAGAGCAGTGGTAAGAAAGGAAGAGAATGCTTTTTTCTCTTTCATAGCTATTGATATTCATAAACCTTGAATAGTAGATAATTGAGAACGATACTGCTTTTATACACATAAATTACACGTATTTGCCAACAAAATTAAGCTTGCAAATAGACTTTTAAAAAGTAAAATTATTTAAATGAAAATTAATTTGGTAAATTTGAATAAGCCTTCATCTATATTTTGTGTCATTAACATTCTTTTCTTGAGAGGAAAAAGCGTGACAGTGTCTCCTTTAGTTCCTTAGTTTATTTATTTTTTCTTGCCCAATTACATCCATTTGTGGGACAGAATTAACATTTCTAGCACGTAGGAAAGATTGTTTTTGGAGCAGCTGAACAGTTGGTGAGATTTGGGAAGAATTCTCCCCAGTGAAATATTTCTTCCTGTTGGTATCTGGAAACCTTTGCTTCACCCCGCTGTTAAAGTGTCCCTCTTTGCACTGCTGTTTCTGATGGTCCAAAGCATTAAAGCTGCTGAGACAGCACATCCAGGTTTGTAAAGTTGCGATGAAGTA